CAACAACAACAACAACAACATCTTCCTATCTCAGGTCCTTGGGAAGGACTCGATAGGTGGATAAAAATGCCAAATCCAGTCTAAACATCTGGCTGATTGTATGAACAACAATAATAATATAAAAATGAATAAAACTGATTGGTAATGTTAAAGAAGAAATAATGTGACATTATTTTTCCACAAGAGGGCAGTACTCTAAAAAAACAAAAGAAAGTAGATATTTAACATTAAAATTGTCTTATCTTTCCATGAGATTTGTGTGCATTCCATACTGCCTAAGGAGTAGACATACCAAGGGGGCGGGGGGGGGGGATCTTGTCCATTCTGGGTAATACGATTGTGACTCTCAACCATTTTAGAAGTGGCATGTAAAACCTGAATAGCAGACAATCATATTTAGAAATGCTTTGCCATAGCATAGTACAGCTGGAGATACTACAATAGAGGCACTTTGGGTATATCCAGCCACTTTGCTTCACATTCTTCTCAGTGAAGCAAAGCTGATCTGTGTGTATATGTCAGTGGGGACAACCAGGAACGGTGTCTGAAAATGGCTGCTTTAACAAGTTAAAAAAAGGGGCTTCATATGCACTTTCAGAAGGCAATTTAAGGAACTATGATTCCCTGAAATGGAAACTCCCTGAAATAAATAGTATCACCGTTATTTCACTAGAAAGGGTTGAAGAGCCTGCAGAGTCTGAGGATTTTCTCCCACTAGCTGCCATATAAGAAGCCATTTCAGCCATGACAGTTGGTGGAAAGAAATGAAAGGGTGATACAACTTATTGCGATGACATTATGATGGGATAAATGTTAAGTGTAAGGACATTTTATGGGAAGGGAAGAACAGAAGATGAGGAGCTGGGAGGTAGTCCTGCACCATACTCAGCATTTTAGCACTGAAACATAACTAGCTTTTTTGCGCTGAGTCAGACAGGTCCCAGTAGCTTAATGAGACCTGAAACTCTGTATGTAAAGCAAGTACTCACTGTCCTTTCCATAAATACCCAGTGATCTTGAGTGGATGTGATGGGGGAAAATCATTGCAAAGGAAATTAAGGGCGAGAAAAATACACTTTTTTAAAAGGGGGTTGGGAAGGGGATTAAAGCTGAATCTGGATCTAATTATCTTGGAAATTAGAGAGCTCATTGATTCATGAAAACACAATAATTCAAATTATGCACTGACACTTGTACTTATTCACAGATCTGTGTAATCAGCGACAACTATGTGCTAACTGGATAAAAATACAGTGGGGAAGTTATATAATAAAAACACAGCACTCCCTTTCCTGTAAGTATCTGTTATGACATGACGCAAGTTATTCATGCCGCTAACTCACATGAAACTCAGCTATGCATAAACATTAAATGCTGCATACCCAAGAAGGGTGTAGTCCCTTTGAAAAGATTTTAAAGAATGATAAGCTGTCACAGACAGCTAAGCAGGAACAAACTGATTTATATGGCATTCCATCCACAATCATGCTATAACATACAGGATTTTTTTAAACTCGGTGTTAGGGTAGAGACAAACAAACTCAGAGGAAAGCTTGAAGTTCTACTTTTCTTAAGTGTATGCAAGCTTTCTGGCAACCAGATTAATTGATAATTGATAATTGAATAAAAATGATTATAAATAATTAAAAAGGTGTGCAAGCTATTAGACCATCTTTTGCCTCTGGATATGTCAATTCCCAGGATTCTTGGCCAGTATGGCTGCTACCAGCTACAGTCTTCTTATGTCTGGAGGAATCCAGTCCTTCAGAGCAGGTCAGGTCAAGAAAGAGACACTACAAGAAATACTAAAAATATGTTATTGATACAGGCTTTAGTAACAGAATCTTCAAAGCCCGACAGTGTTTCCCCTTCTTTCCCTCGTTCCTATAAGAAAGACAGTCAAGGTGGGGCAACCTTGAGTTTCTTTCTCACACTTTGTTTTCCCAGGCTATGCTCATGTTTTACTTATGGTTGCCACATATCTTCTTCTACTCCTTTGCATCAGTTTAGTACAGCTGTCTTAAGCTATATAGCCCATCAATTCAGCCCCCAGGGCAGCAGCAGTTTCTCAACTGAATGTTTCCCGAAGCTTATGGATTGTTGTTCTGAGAGAGCCAATGTGGTATAGTACATAAGATAGTGTTTCTCAATCTTGGCAACGTTAAGTTGTGTGGAGTTCAGCCCCCAGAATCCCCCAGCCAGCATGTTGGCTGAGGAATTCTAGAAGTTGAAGTCTCCTCATCTTAAAGTTGCCAAGGTTGAGCTGCTGTGCCTTAAGGTGCTGGACTAGGAGTGGGGAGATCTAGATTCTAGTCCTCCATTAGACATGGAAACCAGCTGGGGGACTTTGGGCCAGTCATTCCTTCTGAGTCCTAATCAAGGTCAGGGTCTGCAGTCAATGGTCTGCAGAAAAACAAAACCTCTCATTGTATCATGCACAGATAAACTTCACCAAGCAGGACAAATGCTAAGAACAGTGTTTATGGTAGACCTGATTGGTTGATCTCCTCCCAACTAGCTTCATCACCCCAAAAATACTGACTGGAACAGCAGCCCAGAAAGTTTCAAAGAGATAAATGCAGTTAATTAATCTGACATCATCACATCTCTAAACTTAGCCTAGGAAATGGTGATCGGCAACCCACACGGGGGAAGAAAGGGTGAATAATTGCAAGGCTTGCAAAGAGAAGCACGAGATTAACTTTCTGTGCTTGCCTTTTTTGCTGGAGAAAAAGAATATTGAAATATTTGTTTGTTTAATGTAAACTATTTCGATCACCGCTCATCTCACCCCAGAGACTCTAGGCGACGCACCGAGGATCAACCCCCCCCTCCCCACACACACACAGCAGCATCATTTACAAAACAGTACTCCAAAATAGTAAATGTCAATATGATACTGTTGGTACGGCCTCAGAGCATAGCCCCCGCTTGCCATACACGATCGCTGCTACTGCTTTCCCGGCACCCTTAACGGGCGTCCCGTCAGGAAGCCACCGCACCAAAGCAGCGGGGAAGGGAGGGGAACGGGGAGCGAGACGGCGCATGCCTCGGCCCCCAAAGCCCCCGTTCCTTCTGTCCTGAAACAAGAGCTCGGCTTAGAATCCGGATTTTAAAAATACCGCTGACCGTGTGCGGGATATTTAATTGCTTAAACTGCTTTCTGACTCTGCCCGGTGTGGCGTTGGCGTCTGGGGCAGCGGAGAACGGGGCAGCTCCTAAACAGGAAAAACGTTCTTCCTCTGAAGTCCCAACTGCTTCTACGACTTCCTTGCGACCGCGGGAAGCCAGCAACGCCCAGCCGCTCGCTTCCCTTTGAGGGATCCGTCCAGCCCTGCCTCGCCAGCTGACGCCCTTCCCCAGTCACAATGACCCAGATCTGCAAGACCAGGCGGCGCGGCGCGACGCGGCCCCTCCACAGCTGCAGTCAAGAAGTGGCACTGGACGGCTCTGGCCACCATGAGTCCGGCAGCGACGGCCATCTGTTCCCTCCTCTCTGCCGGCCGCATTTTCCCAGGAGCTTAGGAAGAGCGGGAAGAAGAGGAGGAGGAGCTCGGTGCTCACGTGCAAAAGGATTGCGGCGTGACGTCAAAGGAGAACCCCGCAGGGAGGATTCCCTCGGAGGTAGGAGCCGGCTGGGCTTCAGAGGAGCGGGCGGAGCACAAGGAAGGGAGTCCTCATTTCATCATAAGCGCCTCTGTTCAGGATCCAAGGAATCCAGGGAGCCTTGTATGTGCTGCAAAATTCCAGTCGCTGCAGAATTTTGGCAACGTGACAGGGAAAACAGCTTCCTTTGTCAAAATGTCTGGATTGAATCAGAAGACAATGGCCCAATTATTCAGAATAGAGAAGTAGTGAAGATGAAAGCTAGCTTACAGGACAGCAATGTATTGAAACCTACCCATTTCATCCAGTTAAAATCGCTTTCCCTAAATCAATGTTCTCCAGATGTGTTGAATGTGGTGGAAGTGTGGTAGCAAAGTGCTAGAATCAAGTTGCCTGATGCCAAAGGATCCTGTTAGAAATAAGATAGTCAACATGTTGGACATACTAAAAAGTTGCAGTCCCTGAATGGATGCCTCATTTGATGGATCTATGAGCTAGTATAGTGATGGATCTATGAGCTAGTATAGTGCAGATCCGTATTTCTCAACCTTGGCAACTTTAAGATGTGTGGACTTCAACTCCCAGAATTCCCCCGAATTCTGAGAGTTGAAGTCCACACATCTTAAAAGTTGCTGAGGTTGAGAAACACTGATGTAGATAATTAGGATCGTCCATTGTGAGTTGAGAAGGAATCATTGCTTCTAGGTACTGGATTAGTAGTAGCTGTCTTGTGCAGTCCTCCTCCTGGGTC